AGAATGCACAGGAGCTTATATGCAAAACCCTCAACTCATTCCGCGTCAATGAAGAGTGTGGCACCAGACATGCGTTTCACAACAATGTCGACTTGTTCTTCTCTGAGAGGCCTCCCATACACATCGCACGTGATCACAATAAAGAAAATGTAACGCCTCCAGTCTGACCGTAATTCCGCGGCGGAGGCCAAGGCACAATCCAACAAAATGCCGCAAATCATCATATATGCCACACAGACCATCGGCGGCTCATGAGGCAAATGCACAGCACGGAAGAAGGGCCATGCTCACAAACACGCAACGCACAGACACCGAGAGAGTTGGGGGAGGCAACACCAGAGCAGCCTCATTCAACCACCGACAGAGGAGCTCGTGGGCGCTGCAGCCAAAGCCATTCTCTGTGAATGCAAATGATAATAACACCAAACAACGTGAAGCGCCAGTCGGGCACCACATATGGGCCACAGACACCACCCACCCGTCCATTCACTCTTCCTCCTCCCAATGGCGTGGCCCTCCTTCACCTCCACGGACACGTTTGCTGCTCAGTCATGCGAGCCTCTGACGCAAGCACTCAAAATGCGTTTCGGCAATCCAAAATTCAGCACCTCCGAATGGCAGTGGAAATGCTCGCAGAGGCCACACGGCTCCTCAACGCAGCCTCAAGCCCTCCTCAGGACTTTAATGCGATGGAAAGGAATACAGGTGGCTCTCGTGTCACAGAAGGCGGCCAATGGGAGCGCTGTCCACATGCAGAAAATGCCGAGGTGTGAAACAGAGAAGGGAGGAGGCTCGCAGAGGGTGCCACCTGCTACGCCTGATGTGCGTCGTCTCATTTGTGCAACGGAGAAGTAATGAGACGGTTGTTGCGGTGCCTGCCCGTGCGTGCGTCTCACTCCCGCGCCAATGAACACCTCAATGAACATCCTGCCGAGGGCATGCAGCTGGCCGCGCAAGCAATCCCGAGTCTCGCCAACGTTACCGCGGCCGCTCTTTTGGCGAGGCGCCGCTCTTCTTCTTCCTTGTCTCCCGTGCGCCATCCTCGTATGGAGGAAAACGCCCTCCACAATTGGTGTCATCAATTACCTCCAAATAATGAAAAGGATTCCTGGCCTCGAGAAAAAGCCCCCAAAGTGGCAGTCAACGTGAGCCAAACAATGCGTGTGGCCTTCCGCAGCCGCGTGCATTGCAACCCCCTCAGCTGCCCGGTGCTTCTTCCTTCTTTGCGGACCCAAACCGCATAGTACACTTGGATTTGCTCGGATCCTCCACAGGCTCATGTAACCGTGTCCGTCCCGCCCGTGTGGCTATTGGGTTGCACCACGTCACCGCTCACTGCTGCGCCACCGAATAACGTGAAATAGGGATCCAAAACACCACATCCGTGAGGCGAAAACGCATGCATAACTCCAACGAGTTCCCACTGCGAGAAATCACACGGTGGCACGCACACTCTCGCTCTCCCATCAACAATTTGCCGTCAACAACCACAACGGCATTAAGAAGCAGGTTCGGGGCAATCCCTGATAGTCGTCCCCACCCCGGCGAGCGGCCGACTCTGGGAACCGGCACTCT